TCATAAAAAATATTGTATTAAATATAAAGTAAAAGATTATAATATAAAGATTTATATAATTTACAACAAAAATCAATCCATTAGATATATTTATAAGAGAACTTGAGAAATATGTATATTATATTAAGTATTTATTTTCTAGAGCATTAATGATTATTTTCAATTTGTATTAATAAGTAGATTACTGATTCAAATCAACTTTTATATATTTCATGTTATTATTTATAAAAAGTTAAAACTATCAGACTAAAAATTTTTTCATGTATCAATCAATTTTTTATTATTCCATTAGTAATCATATTTATTTTAATTTATTCTATACCTTATTTATTTGTGATAAGCTAATTTAATAGAGTGAGAATCAATTACATGAATGTATATTTATAACTGGATGCACAGAAATCTGAAAACACAAGAAAATCGTAGAATGATCCAAACGTAAAAATCTTATTACAGTTTAAAATATTTTCTATTGAAATATTAATACCAGAAATTTGATAATAGTTCATACATAATATGAATACAGTTTATAAAAAAAGTAGAAAGAGGGTACCATCGCGTAAAATCTATTTATCCGTCTAAGAATATAGAGAAATCGAATGAGATAGAGAGTGAGAGAGATAGATAGATAGATAGATAGATAGATAGATAGATAGAGAGAGAGAGAGAGAGAGAGAGAGAGAGAGAGTACGCGTGTGCGTGTTTGCGTGTGTGCGGGCGCGTGCGCAAGCGTATGCGAGAGTGACCGAGCATTAGTGATTTTGGGGGCGAGAGCTAGAGAGAGAGAGAGAGAGAGAGAGAGAGAGAGAGAGAGAGAGGAAGAGGGGGGGGAGGGGGGGGGGGGGGGGGGGGGGGGGGGGGGTTCGACAAAGTGTGAGAGAGAGCCGCAGGGGCTGCACAGTTGTACAAGAGCCTACGTGTATTTCCTTTTAAATGGTTTTCGCGCGCGTAGCCCACAACCAAGCACCCGCAGAGTTTTACAAGATGCGCCATATGCGTTACATTATTGTGCAACATTGCGCCGCTGAGGATAGATATGTGGCGGGAAAAATTGAGAAGGGAGCGCGCGCGACCTACAAAGGCAAGCAAGCTCCTTTATAATCGACCCATCGGACCACTCGCCGCGCTTTCGCACAACATTCACACATGCAGGCACTAGTCCGTGAGCAAAGCCCTGAGAATATGCTTAGATTTCCCTCCCTCCTCGACGTTTCCACTCCCCGAAGGAAAGATTTTATGGGCGTCATATGTGTATTATACCGGTATCCCTATTGTCCACAGTTTCAAATATTTAACATACTTCACACCTTCTCCTATTTTTACGTTTATCGCATACATCGGCTATGAAAATCTATGAATTTCCAGAATTTAATTTTTACTTAAATATTAGCGGCAAATCAGCAAGCGAATCTCAATGTACTTGATAAAATTTATCTAATCGGATTCTCTTTATCGTAATTGATTATCGAAACGAAGTATATTAGATGTCTGATAACATTTAACGAAAATATTACATTTAAAACTTTATATATTTAATCTCCTTACTACTAGTATCATTATTATTATCATTATTGTTGTTGTTGTTGTTGTTGTTATTATTATTATTATTATTATTATTATTGTTGTTGTTGTTGTTGTTGTTGTTGTTATTATTATTGTTATCATTATGATTATCATTATTAATATTAAAACAAGAGAAAACGTTACATAATAAATATTTATTTAATGCAAGATTTTGTAATAAAATTTAATAACTTTATATATATTATAAAAAAAGTGAATTACTATTTCGTTTTTAACATTGGCGATGTATTGAGATTTCTATTATTTGTGTGTAAGAAATCCCCTCGCAATAAATGCATCGAACCGCAAGATTAACAGAGTCAATGGACCAAAATCTTTTGAGTAACAGACAACTTTCAATTCTTTTTCTTTTTTTCCTTTTTTTTTTCATTTCCCTCTTTTTGCTTTGGCCTATTTCTAATATCGAACGATGGTCTTTGTACAACGAAAATCAAAAGCGACATTTTTAAAGACACAAATATTACGTACTTAAGAAAATCTGTTTACAGAAATACCATTCACAATGAAGCTGATAGCTTCATATACATGAAATATATAAGAGTATATATACTAGTATTTTCAAAAATATAATTTTACGGATGATTACAAATTTTCATGGTTATTGATGCATGAAGGAAAAAAAGATGTATTTTGTAGCACCATACATAAACCATTAAATAAATTTATAACGAATTTAAATGAGATAAAACTTTATTTTGTATTTCTATTGTTGGCAGTGAGCTTAATATTGATTATAAATATTCCAACGCACATTCATTAAATGTTGTCTATCAAATCAGAAATATTTATATAACAAATATGTAAGGTCAGTATGTAATATAATGATATAATCTACGTAATTGCAAGTGCTGAATTCGTACGTGTACTAGTAGACTCACCATATTCACATAATATACTATGTGCACAAATTTGCACAAGTGAGGATCGCTGCGGGATGTTACGATTATGTATATATATCTATGTGTGTGTGTGTGTGTGCGTGCGTGTGTGTGTTTGTTTGTGGGAAAAAAGGGGTGTAGAGGAGAGAGATCTGACAATGTTTCACTGTTGTTCGTGTAGTAGTCGAATGGTACTTATAATTAATGAGGACCAATTACTAGTAAATACAGTCGCCGAAATTTACCACGTTTCCCACTATTGTACACGTACCTTTCGTTTTTAGGTGAATATTCAAAGCAGCCTTTTGAAGTTTTACGATTTTACGATAAAGAGGAGCTTAGTATTTTAACCGTAAAAGAGCACGTGTTTCATTAGCATATATAATATTAGATAATTAATGTATATATTTTTTTTTTATTATTTATAATGCATTTTTGATGCTCATATTGATAATTATGAAATTTTCATGATTGAATTTTCATTCGGTTAGAAATATAAGAGAATTGAGCATGAAATGATAGCCATGTAAATGTATAAATATTTTGTTATTTCATTACAACGCGAACTTGATATTAATTAATATAATCAATTGGCACTCTATCGAATATATTTTAGAAAATATTATTCATTTCAATAACTGTTAATCGTCACAATTTTTGGCAATATATGTACGTATCGAATTAACAGTAAAAATTAAAAAAAAGCTCTCGAAATAGATAAAAGTCACTTCTTTTCAGTTCGGTAAAAATGAAAAGAAAAAGGTGACGCCTTGAAGAAAGGAGAAGCCGCTTTTAAAAGAGAGAATAAACAAAACATCTGTAATCATCTTTGATAAAAACACACTCACCGAAACGATCTAAGTACGTTTGCATAAACTCATATCAGTGTGGTGTGTGTTGCACGTATATAAGAAAGAAGGATAAAAACTACGGATGAAAGAGGAAAGAGAAAAGAAGCAGATAACGAGGAAAACAGATATAAGGGAATACGGGGGAATCGGAGCTCAAAGAAATATGTAAATGTGTGGAGTTACGCGTACTCATTCACGAAACGGAAAGTAGAGACAGAATCGATGCACGAAGTGGTTTGACATCGCTACTGCATTAACGGCACCCAACAATTTCCATTACCTGCGCATATTATCTGACCGATATCTTCTTCAGCTACCAGCCAACCTACCTGCCTACATATAATCTACTCCCAAATATATTGCGCTCGACTCAAATCTCTTTCCCCTTTCTTTTTTTCTCTTGCTCATTCATTCTTCTCTCTCTCTCTCTCACTCTCTCTCTCTCTCTATCTTTTCCTCTGCCTTATTTTTACTTTCTCACTCGGTCTATCTCATTCTCGTTGGTCCTATTATGTAGTCGAGGCCATTTCTGTGTGTACCGGATGTGGACAATGTATTTCTCTTTTAATGCTTCTTTCGATATTTGCATAAAGTTTGC